CCCTTGGCGTAGCTCCAGTTACTCTGAGATGGCTACCAGATGTCCAGACACATCTCCAAAGACTTTCTGTATTTTATTTCATTTGGATGAAATTTTATCTCTGCCTCACACTAAAAAATGTTTTATACATGTAAACACAGCTAATATGTGTTCAGATCTTATGCTACAGTTTTTTTTTATTGCTTTGGTGCAATTTTCACAAGCAATTGGTAAATTTTCAAAACTCTTAGTATTTATATCACAACAGATCATCAAAAGTGCACTTTTTTAAAACATTTCAGAATATTTTCAATTGTGTTAATACACATAATCACAAAATATCATTTTCACTACACAAAATAAGTGTTTCATCTATATAAATGTTTCATTCACAGTAACTGCCTTTCATAAAGCTATTACTATCAAACTTTTTATTTGCATCTCTTATCATTCAGTTTAATACATTTGTCTATCATTTAATTCAACTGATCTTAATGTTTAATCAATTAATAATTTATTATGTCCATATATTTTCAACTTGTCTGATTGTTGTCTGATAATTTGTAAGTTACAAATTGCTGCAAGTGCTTTCAGTCAAGAAAGACCAATTACTAATTATTTTCACCTGATGACCACAATGAGATACCATATAAGTAGAACTGTGTGTGAGACTTTGCAATGTTCAAACATGGAGCAGGATAGACTTGTAGAGAGAGGAAACCTGCATCGAAGAGGTGGTGGTGCTCCTCAACAGAGAGGTGGACATGGACCAAGAGAAAGAGGTGGTGGTGCTCCTCAACAAAGAGGTGGTTTTCAGAGAAATGTAGACAGAAGACAGTGCACCATCATCTCTAATGAAGTCCGGGCCATCATTGCTGACCATGTGGTTAACAGAGGCCTTACCATGGCAGAGGCTGCCAGGTTAGTTCAGCCTAACTTACAAAGGTCAACTGTCAGCTCTATCATCAGAACTTTTCGCCAAGAAAACCGGTAAGTCTGCTACAGTAACTTCACTATACTTTTACAATATAGTACTGTTACAGTAATGGCATTACTGTATAGAAGAACAACATGTAATTGTCACCGTTTGTTATTTATAATAGTAAAATATTGACGGCATGCTGTTATCCTCTCAGAATTAACAGGAGACGACCTGGTGGTGGTCGCCCATGTGTTTTGACTGACCAGCAGGAGTTAGCTGTGGTGGAAATGGTCAGGGCAAGGAATGACATACGGCTGTCTGAAATCAAGCAGGCTATTGAGAACAGCAATGACACCTTTGCCAATGTGCCATCAATTAGCCTTCCAACTATTGCCCGCCTTTTTGAAGAAGCACCAGGTTTCTATGAAACAAATTTACTGGGTGCCTTTTGGGAGAAACCATGCCCGGGTGAAACGACTGCATTCAGAATATGTTCAGGTGCAACACTAAATTGGTGTACTGTATGACATGCAATTTACATTTCATAAAGCTATTACTATCAAACTTTTGATTTGCATCTCTTATCATTCAGTTTAATACATTTGTCTATCATTTAATTCAACTGATCTTAATGTTTAATCAATTAATAATTTATTATGTCCATATATTTTCAACTTGTCTGATTGTTGTCTGATAATTTGTAAGTTACAAATTGCTGCAAGTGCTTTCAGTCAAGAAAGACCAATTACTAATTATTTTCACCTGATGATCACAATGAGATACCATATAAGTAGAACTGTGTGTGAGACTTTGCAATGTTCAAACATGGAGCAGGATAGACTTGTAGAGAGAGGAAACCTGCATCGAAGAGGTGGTGGTGCTCCTCAACAGAGAGGTGGACGTGGGCCAAGAGAAAGAGGTGGTGGTGCTCCTCAACAGAGAGGTGGACATGGACCAAGAGAAAGAGGTGGTGGTTCTCCTCAACAGAGAGGTGGACATGGACCAAGAGAAAGAGGTGGTGGTTCTCCTCAACAGAGAGGTGGACATGGACCAAGAGAAAGAGGTGGTGGTGCTCCTCAACAAAGAGGTGGTTTTCAGAGAAATGTAGACAGAAGACAGTGCACCATCATCTCTAATGAAGTCCGGGCCATCATTGCTGACCATGTGGTTAACAGAGGCCTTACCATGGCAGAGGCTGCCAGGTTAGTTCAGCTTAACTTACAAAAGTCAACTGTCAGCTCTATCATCAGAACTTTTCGCCAAGAAAACCGGTAAGTCTGCTATAGTAACTTCACTATACTTTTACAATATAGTACTGTTACAGTAATGGCATTACTGTATAGAAGAACAACATGTAATTGTCACCGTTTGTTATTTATAATAGTAAAATATTGACGGCATGCTGTTATCCTCTCAGAATTAACAGGAGACGACCTGGTGGTGGTCGCCCATGTGTTTTGACTGACCAGCAGGAGTTAACTGTGGTGGAAATGGTCGAGAAACCATGCCCGGGTGAAACGACTGCATTCAGAATATGTTCAGGTGCAACACTAAATTGGTGTACTGTATGACATGCAATTTACAGTACTGACTAACAATGTCAAGTTGGGGGAAGTCGTGGCCTAATGGTTAGAGAGTTGGACTCGTTACGCAAAGGTTGCGGGTCCGAGTCTCGTACCGGCAGGGATTGTAGTCATCTATTTTATTGTGTGGGACAATGTCAGTTTCCACCATGCAGAGCTGGTTCGGGAATGGTTTCAGGCACAGCCTCTGTTCATGACCCTCTACCTTCCCCCATACTCTCCTTTCCTCAACCCGATTGAGGAATTCTTCTCTACATGGAGGTGGAAGGTGTATGATCGCCATCCCCATGAGCATGTCACCCTTCAAGCCATGGATGAAGCTTGTGGTGATATAACTGCAGAGCAATGTCAAGCCTGGATTCGTCATGCCAGAAGGTTTTTCCCGCGGTGCCTGAACAATGAAGACATTCATGTGATGTTGATAAATTTATGGCCAAATGTTGAAGATAATTGTGAATTTCAGGTCTACATTTACAGGTTGTTGTTGTTGTTGTCGTTTGGGTTTTTTCACAAGCAACCACAGTATTGTTGTAAATTTAAAATAAAATACTTTTTTTGCTTGCATACACTCTAAAAAAATAAATACACTTTTTTTTTTTTTTTTCAACCCAAATGCTGGGTTGAGACCGCTGGGTAAGGACGTTGGGTTGTTTTAACCCAATTTTGGGTTGAAAATTGGTCTTGATCAATAACCCAGCGGTGCTGGGTTGGGAACGCGGACGTGAGAAAGCACGTCACATTAACATCGGATGTATCTCGAGTCTTAAAGGGATCCCTGGGTATTAAGACTTTGTATGGCTTAATATAACGTAAATTATGTCTCTTCCTGAAATATGTAGTAGACTCATTAAAGATTGTTATTTTAAAAATCACATCGTTTTATACATTTTGGACTATGGGGGGCGCCATTATTCTGTTGACGTAAAATGGTTGCACTCGGTGAGCTACTGCCGCTACCTGTTGCTAATTTTACCACAACCCAACTCGGAAAATAAAATACTGTTATGATGACCACAGCTACTGAAAGAGCTTACAGGTGGAGATGGATAAGCATAGGCTTAAACCAAATGCTGTACCATCGATTTTTTTCCCCACATGGAGTCTAAACGCCCCGGATCTCAAAGAAAATCTGCGCTGAGAAACCCCTCTAACGGCCGCGCGTCATGATTGGCGTCAGCATGTTTACAGCATTTCTCAGCCGTTTGTAAGCTCTTTCAGTAGCTGTGGTCTACTAAAAGACTCAAAGGCATCAGGACTAAAGTGGAGTGAAAAAAGAAGCGGGTCTTTAGGAAGTTTTATTCGTCCACAGGCATCTTCCCGTACTTTTCTCCTCTTCTTGTGAAATCTTGCATTGCTTCTCTTGTTGCCCTTCGACTGAAAATTACAACCAAAAGTCACACAATGTGATATCGTATCAGTATTTCAGAAATATATATTAGAAAATAAAGGCGTCAAGCTTGAACAAATTTATAAACACCTAGCTTATTACAATTAATGTATCGTAATGAACAACAGCCTAATCAACCAAAGTAGTATAACCTTTTAAGTAAAACTGAACAACATATTAAACAACATATTTTAAATATCGCAATGCTTAATAATAGTTGTCGTGGCCTAATGGTTAGAGAGTCGACTCGTTACCCAAAGGTTGCGGCTTCGAGTCTCGTACTGGCAGGGATTGTAGGTGGGGGGAGTGAATGTACCATTGCTTCTCTTGTTGCCCTTCGACTGAAAATTACAACCAAAAGTCACACAATGTGATATCGTATCAGTATTTTATTTTCTGAGTTGTGTTGCGGTAAAGAGCCAAAGACTATAGAAATAAGCGCCAGTAGCTCACCGAGTGCAACCACTTGACGTCATCGACGCAGAATGTACTGTGCCAATAAAATAATGGCGCCACCCCATAGTCCAAAAACCATGTCGATTTTTTTTTTTTTTTAAATAACATTCATCTTTCATGGGGTTTCTACTATATATTTAAATAAGATACCTCATTTACGTTATATTAAGCTATACGTTATATTAAGCTATACATGTCTTAATACCCGGGGATCCCTTTAACGGCCTCTTTTACTGAAAGGAAGAGGTGCTTTTAATATAACGTCAGTGAACGTCTTATGTCATATTTACATAGGATTTTACAATATTTACATTTTTTTTTGTGGTGTTAAGAGAGGGTTATTAACATTTACATGTTAATTCGTTATTTTTTTCGAGGTTAAATTGAACGTAGTTTCCTAAAGGAAACGGCGTTATGTAATATAGACTAGCCTAATTATTTTGAGGCTGATTAAGTGATAATTGTTAAAAGTAATGTTTTACATGTTGAGCTTTGTGTCTTCATTGTACCCGTGCCGGGAGTTAACGACACAGAACCCTGCTTGTGTGAGGAGGCAATTTTTCTCAGCTTCTTCAGAAGAGAGTGAAGTTCATAATTCCGTCATATATTTTTATTTATTTTTTTTTTAACTAAGAATAAAATGTTTGTTTTTGTAGATATTGAAAGCCAGAGACATAGGAGAGCATCATTCTTTTGAGATTGATGTGAGTTATTTTTAGAAAATGTTTCCGTCTCCTGCCTGTTTACCTCACATTTTGATGCAGCAACAGTATGATTACTTGTTCATATTTTATGTAAACCATTGTCTGTTTTTCATTGCAGAACTCAAACCAACTTTGGAGGTGTCTGATTTGGAGAGACATCATTCTTGGTCTTTTCTTAAAGGAATAGTTCACACATATAATTTACTTGCCCTCATGTCATTCCAAACCTATAAGACTTTTGTCTATCTTTAGAACACAAATTAAGATATTTTTAATTTTCTCTCATAATTTTGTTAATCCATTGCAAGTGTAGATAATCAGTATTTTCAAGCTTCAAAAATTCAGAGCTA